CATATTTTTATTTACTCTCTTATAAGTACAGTTGTTGCTCACTGTTTTTACTTGCTGTTCTGTATTTTCTTCATTGCACCATTAGTATATAATGTTAAAAAGAATTTCATTGAATGTTTATAAAGTATTACAAAAGGCAGCTTTTTAATCTATGCATCCTTGGGATTTCAGAAATTTATTCTTTGATGTAAAAGGGAACTGCTGTATGAGTTGGAAACTCTGCACCTGAGTGTGTGTGTGTGTGTGTATATATACATATATATTTTTTGGCAATAAAGCAGCATGGGCTGAGAATGCACTGAAACTTCACTGTGTTACTCATTACTTGGAATGGGTAATTTTTTTTAGACTACTTTTTTTAAAGATTTTATTTGTCAAAGAGAGGGAGAGAGCATAAGCAGGGGAAGAGGAAGGCAGAGGGAGAATCAGGCTCCCATCTGAGCAGGGAGCCCAATGTGGGACTCGAGGCAGGACTCAATTCCAGGACCCTGGGATCATGACCTGAGCCGAAGGCAGACGCTTAACTGAATGAGACACCCAGGTGTCCTGGAACGGGTAATTTCTAATAATGCAGTAGATTACTGAGATGGGAGGAGCCAAGCCAGAGACCTGGGCTGAGGTAGGCTCCAGATGTCAGAAAAGACCAAAGATTGGGGTGTTGTTACCAAGTCATAGCAGTTTCTGCTGTAGTCCAAGGGACGTGGCAGCCATGTGAACAAAGAGGCATTCCATTTAAACTTAACGTCATTCCCACCTTTAGGGCCAACCTTACGCTAGGTATTAGCAAATGCTTATTTATTTAAGATTTTATGAGTGAGGGGCACCTGGGTGGCTCAGTCGTTAAGCGTCTGCCTTCGGCTCAGGTCATGATCCCGGGGTCCTGGGATCGAGCCCCGCATCGGGCTCCCTGCTCGGCGGGAACCTGCTTCTCCCTCTCCCACTCCCCCTGCTTGTGTTCCTGCTCTTGCTGTCTCTCTCTCTGTCAGATAAATAAAATATTAAAAAAAAACTTAAAAAAAAAAAAGATTTTATGAGTGAGCACAAGTGGGTGGAGAGGCAGAGGGAGAAACAGACTTTCCGTTGAGCAGGGAGCCTGACGGGCTCGATCCCAGGACCCTGAGGTCATCATGACCTGAGCCGAAGGCAGACACTTAACTGAGCCACCCAGGCACCCCAAATGTTCAGTTTCTGATAAGGAAATAGCTAAGTACAATAATGTTTAAACTATTGCAGGGAATCCTTCCTATCTGAAATAAAGCATTTTAAATGTTTTTACATTGAATATTTATTAGCTAGCTTAACTAAAGAGGCTTAACACTGTAATTAAGAAGAGAGGGACGCCTGGGTGGCTCAGTCAGGGTTGGTTAAGCGGCTGCCTTTGGCTCAGGTCATCATCCCAGGATCCTGGGATTGAGTCCTGCATCGGGCTCTCTGCTAAGTCGGAAGCCTACTTCTCCCTCTGTGCTGGCTCTCTCTCTCTCTGACAAATAAAATCTTAAAAAAAAAAAAATCCTTCTTGATTCAGGGGAAAGTTTAAGAAAATGAATGTTACAAACTTCCTTGGGATTGGCCATTGTCAAGTGGACAGGAACACAAGCTATGTGGGTTTTTGTGGTATGATTACTAATGTAATAGTTCCTTCCTGTGATTTATGACTAATCATTTAGCACACACTGATAGACTCCAGTCCCAGGTACTGTGCTAGATGTTAGGATTACAAAAATAGAGTTTCTGCTGTTAACTCAGGAGCTTAAAAGTTTACAACTCAGAACTTCAGTACGCAGTTTTATTGTTCTTATGACTATGGAATTTTGAAAATAAGTTTTATTCAACATACATACAGTACTAAATGATACCAAACTGTAGCAAAGTAGACTTAGTATCTGTTAATATCAATCATTGATGTTTGCTAGACTTTACTCTTATACCACCTAAAGGTATCCTTTAAAAGCGTTGTTTAAAAAGTCAACTATGCGTGAGACTATCAATTAGTGTAACATTTATGGAAGGCATAATATCAAAATTGTAAATGGTCATGCCCTTTGACTTTCCCACTTTCATAATCACTCCTACCAGTACAGATCTGAAAGATAGGTACATGGATCCAATACAAGGATGGTCGGATTCTGGTGTATTCACATCACTGAGTCATGGAGGTGTTAAATGAGGTAGTTCGTGTATGGGCCAGTATGGAAAGTTGTGACATTTATTGTGTGAAAAGCTGGTTGCAGAATAATGTGAAAGATAAAACTGCCTTTGTTTTATGTCTATACATGTACATCTACATGCATAAAGATTGTATTTATTGTGCACCTAGTATGTGCTAAGCACTGCTGTAATTACATTAGATGTATCCATTAACTCAATCTTCACTACAGCCCTGTTTGTTTGGGTTTTTTTTTTTAAGATTTATTTATTTATCTCTACACCCAATGCAGAGCTTGAACCCACAACCCCGAGATCAAGAGTTGCATGCTCTTCTGACTGAGCCAGCCAGGTACCCCTTGCTTTTTTTTTTTTTTTTAAACAGAACAAGCCCTTTGAATTTTTACTCCAAAAAGCTTCATTTTTTAATTTAGCTTTCTGACTCTGTTCTGCCTTGTGCCTTCACCACTTTCACAAATGATTTTCTGCTCCTCAGTAAGGAAAGCACGCTTAATCCTGTTGTGAACACACGTAGCACATCTGGAACCACCCTAGGCCCTGCTGACATGTTTCCTCGTTTTAGACCGCCTCAGTAAGAACTACAGGTTTTCACAGCATGGACTTCTTGAAGTCAGCCTGGGCACACGCCACATGCGGATTTTGGGGCTTTCCCAATCTTCTTGGTATAAAGGTAGATTCTATTAGCAGGGATCTGGGACAGCCTAGTTTTGTTAGAGGCTGTATTGTAGGACAGCCTTCAATGGTATGTCAAACGCTGGACCATTCTGAATGCCTATGGATGCTGTCGCCAGAAAAGGAAAAACCAACCCTAGTTGTTAATCCCTATTTTACAAGAAGAGTTGAAATAAATTCTTCATGTTCATGGCTAATAAGTATCCAAACCGCCATGTGAATCCAAATATTTTGGCTCCAAGAGCCTGCTCACTTCCCAGCATGCTATCCTATGCCTCTCAAAGATGGAAGTGTACTTTGCACCCTTTATTTTTGTCTTACATCTATGTCTGAATTTTTTTTTTAGATTAAGCATGTAATTTGTATTTGGGGAAAAAACTTTTTTTTTTTTTTAAGATTTTATTTGACAGCGAGAGAGGGAACACAAGCAGGGGGAGTGGGAGAGGGAGAAGCAGGCTTCCCGCTGAACAGGGAGCCCGATGCAGGACTCAATCCCAGGACCCTGGGATCACGACCTGAGCCGAAGGCAGACGCTTAATCACTGAGCCACCAAGGCGCCCCTAAAAAAAAACTATTTAAAACCAGCCAGCTTAATTTGATGTTAAGTTCAAGCATTTAACTTTCCATTTAATTTTCTGCCAAATCAGCAAATCCAGAGTTTAAGGGAAATAGCTACCTAAGAACATACCCACAGACAATAAAAACCCCAGGATGATTCAATATAGTATTAATTTATTAGGTCCATTCTTTAGGAGTAGAAAGTAAGTTTTTCTGGTACTATTTGTTGCCAGAGGCTTCACCCTTATTTTATGCAACTCAGAAGCATAAAGCAAACCAGAATTTTTTTTTAAATGTTTTATTTATTCATTCATGAGAGTTAGAGAGGCAGAGGTAGAGGGAGAAGCAGGCTCCCCACCTAGCAGGGAGCCGATGTGGGACTCGATCCCAGGACCCTGGGATCATGACCTGAGCCGAAGGCAGACGCTTAACCATCTGAGCCACCCAGGCACCCCACAAACCAGAATTTTCTTGTTTAAAATATTTTTAAAGGGAAATGGCCTTTATGCAGTATAAAGTGGAAAGAATAAGAAAATGGCTGCTAGCTACATCTGAACCAAGTCCACTTTTCTATGCCCCACCACTTGGCTAGATCACGTCTGGATTGTGCTCTTGCCAGCCCCTCAGTGGTCTGCCTGCTGCCCCAATAAACCCATTCTCCACAAGACAACCGTAACGAAGTTCTACAAAAGTGAAACCGAGCCTGCCAGAGGCCACCTCCTCAAATTCTTCAAGGGCTTCCATTGTTCTTGGGATAAAAACATCCTTCAGGAGGCCAGTAAGTCCTTGCACCCTCTGGTTTCTGGCCACTGGTGCACCTCCTACATGTCTTCTTTTAAGGGCCTCAGCACAGGTTTCCCGCTCCATTCCCTAAATAACCCCTACGCTTTCAGACCAAGGCTGAAATGTCACTTCCTCAGAGTGGCCATTCCTGACTCCCAGACCAGGTCCATTACCTGCTGTATGTGCTGGTAGCTCTATGTCCCTTTTCTTCAAGATGGAATAGTAATTTCACATGTATTCATCTGGTTATTTGAATGTCCCCCTCTAATGAGATAGAAACTCTGTGCAGGTAGAGAGTGGCTTTTTGCTTTCTGCTTACCTTTTATCCTCAGAAGTTAGTATACTTTTATTAAATGAATAATATGATATGGTACTGAGCCTATGTGGTACCTAAAACATGAAAAAACAGCATTTTGGTGAATGTTTGATGTTTATCATTCCTCTCATTATTACCCGGTTACCTCTCATTATTACCCAGTTTAGAAATGAAAAGAGAAAGACAAATTGTATATTATCCAATTAATTTATTGAGTATCACCTACAGAATATATATATATACCGATATTTTATGTAAGAAAAAAAATGGATTCTCGGTCTTCACCATAACCGCTCCATGTAGAAATAACAGTAGTCAACATTAAATACAACTCTATTTTCATAACAACTGTGCATCTTTATATCAGACCACTCACAGGACATGGCCTCCTAATCAACCTAAATTTGCAGTAAAATATGTTTTCAGAAATAATTGATAAGCTAAAATAAGTTAAGGCAAATAGCTATAAAACCTGAACAGAAGCTTCCTTAGTTTCTCATCTTCTAGAAACAGCTTCACAAATCATTTGGAAAATCAGCCTAGAGGTAAGCATAATAAACCACAGTTCCCATCCCTTCTTGAAGCCGATCTTTCTCAAGAATTGATCAAATAGCACCTGTTGATGGAACACAGCAATAAGGCCTGAACCTGATACTTAGGCTTTAATTCTGGATCAGTTTTCTGGCTTGGGCTGGTTGGGAGTTACTTCCTTCAGAATCTTCATCAGTGAATGTAAGTGAGTATGTGTTAACATTATCTTCTCTTTCAGCTGGGAAGAAAAATGAATAGGTATCAGGGTATTTTTTTTTAATTTTATTATTTATTCATTTGACAGCAAGCACAAGGAGGCAGAGCTGCAGGCAGAGGGGGAGGGAGTAGCAGGCTCCCTGCTGAGCAGAGGACCCTGGGTTCATGACCTGAGCCACTCAGGTGCCCTGGTATCAGGTCATCTTAAGCTTAACACTCAATTTGATGATTCTAGAAGCCACTTCAAATTTAAACTAGTGATTGAGAGATGACAATGTCTGAACACACTAAATATGCTTGTTCTATTTCTGAAAGAACTTCATGCAACAAGCCCAGAGCACAGTAAGATCTTCAAAGTTTCATATGAAAAAAGACCAGCCACTGCTGAGCATCACTGCTTCTCTGTCTCCCTCCTTCCTACCCCTTTTCACCAGGTTTAAACGCCAAGTATTGGGAAGGAAGACAAGAATACGGTGGGGTAAGAAAGTTTGTGGAGAGCAGCATCAATGAGTCTTCCCCTCCTTTTCTATTTTTTTTTTTAAAGATTTTATTTTTTTATTTATTTGAGAGAGAGAATGAGAGACAGAGAGAGAGCATGAGAGGGGGGAGGGTCAGAGGGAGAAGCAGACTCCCCACTGAGCAGGGAGCCCGATGCAGGACTCGATCCCGGGACTCCAGGATCATGACCTGAGCTGAAGGCAGTCGCTTAACCAACTGAGCCACCCAGGCGCCCTTCCCTTCCTTTTCTAGTGGCAAGAATCTTTTTTCCCCTCTTTGTTCACAGTAACAAATGCCTTTTTTCAATATTCTGCTAATGGCCTTCAAAAGTAGCCCTGGTTGTTGGGTTAAGAACCTGTGTTTGTGGTAATTAGGTAATTTTCAATAGTTCTTTCACCTAAGAATAGCTAAATCAAGAACCAAACTTAATGGTATTATTAGCATACAACATGTGCTTAGTAAATAGTTATTATCATTGAATACAGAATTATGGATAACAATCTTCTGTTGAAGTCAGATTAACAACAAAAATATTATTTCTGACATAAATGCACCATACACAATCTTTTTTTATTATCATCCAAGATAGAAGAATAATAAAATTCATCAGGAAATGCTTAAATTAAATAGGTAACTCTAGAGCCTCTTAATCTTCTTGGAGTACCCCTGGATGTGGCGATTCATTTCTGTGTTGCCTTCAAGATTTTGTTCCCTCCTCATTTTTACTATGATGTGTTGGGGTATGTATCTCTTCTGTGTTTATCCTACGTGGGCTTGTTGAGGTTTTGGATATGTAAATTAATGTTTTTCATCAAATTTGGGAATTTTTCTACTATTTTTTCTTTGAATATCTTTTCTACTTCTCTACTTCTTTGGTATGTATTCCTTTTACCAAAGAATATTTAGGTATGCTGGATGGTGCCCAAGAAATGTCTTAAGCTCAGTTCACTTTCCTTCATTCTTTTTTCTTCAGATTCCATAACCTCATCAATCTGTCTCCAGTTTGCTGATTCTTTCTTTGGGCAGCTAAAATCTGTTGTTGAGCCCCTCTAGTGAATTTGTCATTTTAGGATTTCCAAGTGATTCTTTTTTATAATTTCTAACTCTAAGGATATCCTCTGTTTGATGAGATATTGTCATCATACCTTCCTTGACTTCTTTAAGCAGTTTCCTTTAGTTTTTTGGACCTATTTATAATAGCTGCTTTGAAGGCTTTGTCTGCTAAGTCCAACATCTGGACCCTTTCACAGGCAGTTATAGATGCCTGCTTTTTATCCATGTACGGGTCATACTTTCCTCTTTGAGTGTTTTCTAATTTTTTTGTTGCAAACTAGACATTTATTTGTAAAAAAAAAAAAAATTTTTTTTTTACGATTTTAAGTAACCAACATGGGGCTCAAGCCCACAAGCCCAAGATCGAGTCACACATCCACCAACGGAGCCAGCCAGGCACCCCACAAATTGGACATGTTAAATAATATAGCAACTCTGGATACTAAACATCCACTCCTCAGCTTATTGCTGTCCACTTATCTGTTTTAGTGAGCTGGCGAGACTATTTCACTGATACCTCTTTTCCCCACCATATGAGAGTCCGCTGTCAGTCCTCAGAGAACCCAGCCTTGAGTGTGCAGTCACCTGGAAGGACAGTGGTTTCAGCCGGTTCTCTTTCAGCGTTTCCCTGATCTTCGTGTCAAGTGTCAAGCTGTTCAAGCTGTTCGCCTTCACTAATTGCTGGGCTGATTGCTCTACAGGTTTTGACAATGCCCTGGGACATAAATTGTTCAACAGTCTAATCCAATTAAATTCAGGACCCCTCCCCCTACTTGTAGGGGTCGTCTTTGAAAGACTGGTAGCCAGTCTTTTTGTTGTTGTTCTGATGCCAGGAGGGCTCTTCTTAGCTGTCTGTTCCCTGATTCTGTCTGGTAACCTTCAAATGAATCTATGGCTTAGCTTGTTGCTCTCATGGAACTACCAGCTTCCTTTTAATTGCTTACCTCAAAATCTCCACTGTTTTGGGCAGCAGTTCCCTTGTGTGGTGGGGGGAGGGAGCAGTTTTTACAATCTGCCTCTTAGCCTGGCTCCTCCCAACCTAGGGGCCAGTGTCTCTCGGAATGACACCCTCGCTTTACAAGCAGAGTGCTGGGTATAGGTGCCAGCTTCTGTTCTTGGCTTACCTCCGCCATGTGAGACCTCTGGCCTACATGCAAGCGGGGGCAAGGGTGAATGGGCTCCTAGTCCTTAGCTTGCTGTGCCGGTGGTAGAACTGGCACCTACAAGTGGCCGTTTTTGACTGCAATAGAGCTTCTGACGAGAAATCCTGATAGCCTGCCCCTCCTGTAAAGATATCACAGCCCTCAACTGGGAGCTAGGGCAAAAAACGATCCCTGTGTTCTTGGCTACAGCTGCCCAGAGCCTCCCTTCCTCTGTGGTAGAGAGGCATGAGACAGAGGGAGCAGGCTCAAATGCCACCGGGCTTCACTGTTCTTATAGAAGTTTTGCAGGTTTTCTTAAATGTCTCCTCATTTGCTTTATGCCTTGAGAAAAATTTCTTACCGACTTAAAATGGTTGTTTTCCTTTGTAATTTTATTCAGTTATGGCAGTTTTGCTGGGGCGGCGGGGGGCGGTCGGTCCATGGAGTTCCTCAGGCTGCCATTCTAGAAGTTATCTCCCATACCAATGAAAATAGTTACTGACCCCTCTCATCAACTTGGTTGCTTAGAGCGAAGGTTGGCTCCCTGTAACTGCAGGATGCCCTGCTGCCCATTTATGTAAATTAAGTTTAACTGCAACACAGCCACACCCATTTGTTTATATATTTGTCCAAGGCTGCTTCTGTGCTACAATGGCAGAGTTGAGTGCTTGAGAATGAATGGTCACAAAGCTTAAAATATTTGTCATCTGGTCCTTTATAGAAAAAGTTTTCCAACACCTGGCTTAGAACATGGCTATGCAAAACAACATCCCCCAAAATCACTCTTCCCCTGTCCTAAGAGATACTTAAACTTTGGAAAATAAATGCCATTGGTTATAAAATGTATAATGAGCAAGGAATAAACTATTAACAATACTAAAAACAAAATGAACAATAAATTCTAAGGTTGTTCTTCTGCGGGTAGTGAAGTTTTAGCCAAATTTCCACTCAGAAAGAGTCAGTAAGCTACCAAAACAAAGTTGCTTTCTTCAACTTCAAAACTATCAACCACTAGGAAAATCCATTTGATAAGAATTCCTAAATGATCATTTCACCACTTTCCTGAGACATCTAAACATGAAGTGCTTACAGAAAGGACAGATCTGGGGCACCTGGCTGGCTCGTTTGGAGGAGCCTATGACTCTTGATTCGGAGTTGTAAGTTCAAACCCGACGTTGGGTGTAGAGATTATTTAAAAATAAAATCTTTAAAAAAGAGAGAAAAAAAGAAAGGATGGACAGATCTAAGAAAGATGATGGGGTCCATTTCCAGCACAAAGGGGATAGTAGAGGAAATCCAGGAACTAAACAGCTTTCTTCCTCCTCTTGAACTGGACCTTACAATATCTGGCTTTGTGTCACAAATTCAATAAGTAATGCTAAACAAGGAATACAGGATTATGGGAGTATTACACCATTTTATCACCACCAAATTCATTGGAATAAACTGCCAGGAGTTGTCTGTACAGGCATACTTCATTTTATTGTGCTTTGCTCCATTACACTTCAAAGATACTGTATTTTCTACAAAGTGAAGGTTTGTGGCAACCCTGGGTGAGAAAGTCTGTTGGCATCATTTTTCCAACAGCATTTGCTCACTCCATGGCTCTGTCTCATTTTGGTAACTCTCAGAATATTTCAAACTTTTCATTATTATTATATTTATTAGGGTGATCTGTGATCAACAGTTACAACTCCCTGAAAGTTCAGATGATGGTTAGCATTTTTAGCAATAAAGTATTTTTTAATTAAGTTATGTACATTGTTTTTTTTAGACACAATGCTATAACACACTTAGTAGACTACAGTATAGCGTAAACATAACTTTTATAGGCACTGGGAAACCAAAATAATAATTTGACTTGCTTTTTATTATGGTATTTGTTTTACTGTGGTGGTCTGGAACTGAACCCACAACATCTCTGAGGTATGCCTGTATTACAGGAAACATACAACCATCATGAAATTTTACCTCTGCAACTTTTTCTGGTAGAGACAAGTTGTGAATATCCATCTCAGAGGCATTTACTATGGCTTTTGTTTTTAACAGATAGCTGGATAGAAAATATACAGAGAAAATATTAGTATCATCCTACAGATAAGATTATCAATGAACGAAACTTGACCTCTAAAGCAATGTCAGGCAAAGACAGCCTCCTTACAGATTTTCATTTCAACATTCATATTGTATTTTGTAGGAAAAACACATTCTCAATTAAGAAATCACCAGAGACTCTGTGTCTCATCTCACCCCTTACCAGCCAGGAAGACAGGAGACAAAATTATCCCATGACAAATTAAAACACATAAACCAGGTCGTACGAGTAACTAAATCACATAGCAGTTAGAAGAAAAGTTATCATATGGTGACAAACGTGGTTGGTTGCCTACCAAGTAGTCATTCCTAACTTCTTTCTTGTTAACAGAACCCAGATTTTGCTTTGTTTTGTTTTAAAAGATTTTATTTATTCATGAGAGACAGACAGAAAGAGAGGCAGAGGGAGAAGCAGGCTCCCCGCTGAGCAGGGAGCCCTACGTGGGGCTCAACCCCAGGACCCCGGGATCATGACCTGAGCCGAAGGCAGACGCTTAACTGACTGAGCCGCCCAGGCGCCCAAGAATCCAGATTTTGTTTAGGACAGGAGTATGCTCAATCCTAGATGAGTCAGAACTGTGCTAAGCCAAGTGTGGCAATCTTATTCCCTCCTCTCACATATTTGCTTTCCCACCTTAAGGCAATCATGTGACATAGTTCTGCCCAGTAATAAGGACGCTTTTGATGATAAAATGAGACCATTCCCTGTGTTCCCACTTCCCATATCCTTCTTCTGGTTGGGGATGCTACTGTCTATATTTGTAATGCTCATAATTGCAGTAGCATCCAAGAAGAAAAGGCCAAGAGAAACAGAGATGCTGATCCAGAGCCCTATTGTGGCTGAACCACTGGAGGACTCCTGGAGCAGCCAATTACCCAACTCCTTACTTGTTAAAGCCACTGTCAGGTTTTCTTTTACTCGCAACCAAATTCATTCTGATACACACAGACATAGATTATTATCTTCCCAGACTCATGCTACCTATACTTGCCTAATTTCTACTTAATCAAAAAGAATATACTGACCTTTGAGTCCCAACTCATTTTAAAGATTAAGAAATTACTTAAAATCCTATTATACTTTAAAAATTTGTATCAAAAATTTTTTTTACAAAAAACTTAACTTCCCTAAGCAAAAATTCAATTACAGCTCAGCTGGAACAACTACTTTTAACTGTTTTTTAAAGAAGATTTGAGGTTACTAATAGCACACATTTACAAACACTTTTCCCCTCTCTTTAAACTTAATTCTAGATAGAAATTATTTAAGAAGCGGGGCACCTGGATGGCTCAGTTAAGCGTCCTTCTTCAGCTCATGATCCCAGGGTCCTGGTACCAAGCCCCAAATTGGGCTCCCTGCTCAGCGGGGAGCCTGCTTCTCCCTCTCCCTGCTGCTCTGCCTACTTGTGTTCTCTCTATCAAATAAATAAAATCTTAAAAAAATATATTTAGGAAGAAATTAGAAATTGAAAGTAAATTATCAATCCATCTCAAGTATATATTTCCTGTTGAAAATCTGCAGAGAAGAAAAAAAGAAAATTTGCAGTGAAGAACAAATAGTATACCTAATGCATTTTGAATAACCTCATGAATGAAGGACGAGCTTTACTTATGAGTTTTATTATTTTGTCATATATAGCTCAGCTAGAAACACCAATCTAAGCACATTGAATGAAAAAAAGGAAACTTTGTTTAATGAAACAAAAATAAGCTTTGGAGTTAAGACAGATTAAAATAGCTCCTCCAACCTCTCTGAGTCCCAGTTTTCTTCTGTTAAGAACTCAGTGAGATAAGCATAACGCCTGGCACAAACTAGGTCATCAATGGCTGTTTTTGTTTTTTTGTTTTTAATGGTCAAGACTATGATAGATGTTTCAGTTTGTTATAATAAACAAAAAAAGCTTAAGTGACAGTAGTATTAGGAAGATAAATATTCAAAGTACTACATAAGAAGGAACAAGTATGGTACTTTGATTCTGTGAGGCCACATGGTCATTATTTTTTACTTTTCTTTGGGTGTCTATCTGCTTCATTCTTTTTTGCAGACAAGATTTCACCATATCTACATGCGTAACAGAAAATACCTACCTTAAACCTAGATCTTTTATTTCCCAACTTCAGCACCAGTACCATCTACAAATGACTAGTGTCTCTGGGTCCTTATTTCAAATTCCTAGACTAGGAATTTGGCTTAGCTTAGGTCAGGTATTCATTCTTGATCCTATCACCTGGGAGTGGTATCACATATGATAAAAAAACATGGCCACAAGGTCCCACTCTAAAGGGAAAGAAAACGGGCTGGGCATAAACCCAGTAAGTGTCTATTACAACATTATTTTGCAAAAAGCTTACCTTCCAGAAGTTTCTGTAAAAAAGAATATCCTCTCATCTACTCCATGGTAAGCTTATTAAGACATGGTATGATTATAAGACTTCTAAAATGAGCATAATGTTATGAAATTATATTTTGGTCCCACTGCCCATCTTTTTGTGTAAGAGACAGTGCCTTGCTGTAGCATTTTCTTTGGTACAAACATTCTGCCTTTTCTGGAAGCTCTTTTAAAATGTATTTGATAAAGAATATCTTAAGTCTACTCACCACACCATTTTGTCACTGGAAAGGCAAAAGTGACCTCTCAAGGCAGCCAGGGCAGCATGGGTAGAATACAAATGGAAACCAATGGGAATCCCACAGGAAGTACAGAATAAAAGGTTGTAAGTGCTGGCATGAAAAACAGAATATGGGTAAGAAAATCAGAGAAGAAATATAAAATAACCAGTCTCTGGAACCAGTTCTCCTAAAAACTGTGCTATAATAGGACTGAGACTGAAGAAATGACATATTCAAGAAAGATTAACTCAGCTTTTAATATAATTACATCCTAGATTATTATGGATGTACCATTGTCACTTATAGAATAATTTACATTTGAAAAGCAGAAAAATCATACTAAAATCAGATTAACATTTTAACATATAAAACTACACATGACCTGGGGCAATGGGTGGCAGATTAACATTTTAACATATAAAACTACACATGACCTAAGCCTTCAGCTCAGGTCATGATCCCAGGGTCCTGGGATCGAGCCCCACATCGGGCTCCCTGCTCCGCAGGAAGCCTGCTTCTCCCTCTCCCACTCCCCCTGCTTGTGTTCCCTCTCCCACTGTCTCTCCCTCTGTGTCAAATAAATAAATAAAATCTTTAAAAAAAAAAAAAAAACCTACACATGACCATATAAATTAGCTACCATTAAACCAATTTCTAGCTTAAGAAAAATAATCAAGTTGATTGGGATTTACCAAGCAATTTATTAATAGAACTCAAATGAGGATTTTTCTTTTGCAAATATAATAAAAAATTAACTTAAAAAAATACCCAGACAAAATGCCAAAAGAGAAAAAAGAAAAGAAATCCTATGACCCTAGCAAGCCATCTATTTTCTTTTCTTTTATCCTCTGAAAGATTACTGGATGAGGAAACAGGTAATGATTCTAGTTATACCACTTGGGTAAGTCACTCACCATATCTGCTGATACATAAGACATATCCAAATGCTACAAAGAAATGTTTTCTGTTTTTTTAAGATTTTATTTATTTATCAGAGAGAGAGAGAAAGAGAGCACAAACAGGGGGAGCGGCAGGCAGAGGGAGAAGCAGGCTCCCTGCTGAGCAGGAAGCCCAGGACTCTGAGATCATGACCTGAGCCAAAGACATCTGCTTAACTGACTGAGCCACCCAGGCATCCCAAATACTACAAAGAAAAAAAAATTTTTTTTAAGATTTTATTTGTTTATTTGACAGAGAGAGACACAGCGAGAGAGGGAACACAAGCAGGAGGAGTGGGAGAGGGAGAAGCAGGCTCCCTGCCGAGCAGGGAGCCCGATGTGGGGCTCGATCCCAGGACCCTGGAATCATGACCTGAGCCAAAGGCAGACGCTTAACGACTGAGCCACCCAGGCGCCCCCATAAAGAAATGTTTTAAGAAAAAAATTATGTTTCATCAGGTATGTACTGAAAACTATTTATTTATTTAAGAACTCTCTACATGCACCATGGGGCTCAAACTGATGACCCCGAGATCAAGAGTTGTATGCTCTTCCAACTGTGCCAGACAGGCACCTCCTGAAAACAGTTTTAAAGTGGTTTGGTAAGGGAAAAAAGTATTTGTTTAAATATACTATGCAGTAAAACTGCATCAATAGAGTATAAAAATCATATGACTACAAAGATTCATGTCAGTGTATACTAAAAAAGACCAAGCAATACAGTATCCCAATTCATTGGTAAATTAAGTCCCACACCACACATGTAGTACTGTATTTTTGTGAATACAGTAACCAAAAAGCAAGCCATGAAATAAATTGCATTAATTTGAATTAATTCCTATGTAGGAATTAATGGTATCAGACAAAGCACAGTACCTATAGAAAAATGTCTGATAGATACTAATTTATGGCACAGGGCAAAAATGTGCTTATGTGTGCAATATAAAATATTTCACTGAATATTAGTCCGCTAATGGCTCAAGTCCTTCAAAAATGAAGGTTTGCATTACCACACCAGGAAAAGAACTCTGACCAGCTGAGCGCTTGCTGAAGGCAAAAGGGGATACAGATGGGTAGTGGAAGAAGGTAGTTACAAATACAGCTATGACCAAGTGACCAGTTAGAGAAATGAGGACTGTAATTGTCATGAGTATTTCCTCTGTACTTTGTTATAAGTTTGTGTGTCTTGAGTGTTTATCTCTGTTCTTCTCTTATTCCATTATACAAGATCATACTTTATATCATACTACTATATCAAACTATATCATTCTATTTAAGTATTACTAGTTTTATATCACAGTATTTAAATTACAAGAGATCAAAGAGAAATGCAAACATCATTTAAGGACTTTAACTTCCTTTTCCAGAGAAGGGGTTAGTGTGTTTTCAATTGTATGCATGATAGTTGTAACATGTTAGAGGGGTGTCTGGGTGGCTCAGTCGTTGGGTGTCTGCCTTCAGCTCAGGTCATGATCCCAGGGTCCTGGGATGGAGCCCCACATCCGGCTCCCTGCTCGGCGGGAAGCCTGCTTCTCCCTCTCCCACTCCCCCTGCTTGTGTTCCCTCTCTCGCTGTGTCTCTCTCTGTCAAATAAATAAAATCTTAAAAAAAAAGTTAGAATTATGACTTTGTTATTGTCTTTATTTGGAGATTAAGTATGGTTTTAAGAGATGCATGTGGGTGCCAAGTTAACAAGTGATGGTTAAATTTTATGGTCCACTTGACTAGGCCAGATGGCACCCAGTTATTAGGTCAAACATTATTCTGAATGTGTTTGTGAGAGTGTTTTTGAATGAGATTAACACTTGAATCAGTAGACTGAGTAAAGCAGATTGTCCTCCCCATTTGGGTACCCGCATCTAATCAGTTGAAGGTCTTAACAGAATAAAAAGGCTGACCCTGTCAGGAATAAAGGGAAACTCCTCTTGCCTGACTGCTTTAAGCTGAGACATTGTTGTTTACCCTCTGCCTTTGAACTTGAACTGAAATGTAGGCTCTTCTTTGGTCTAGAGCCTTCTGGCTTTTGGATTGGAACTTACACTTTGGCTCTCCTGGTTCTAGGCTTGTGGCCTTTGACTAGATCTAAACCACTGGTTCTGCTGTGTCTCCAGCTTGCCAACTACAGCTCTTGGGACTTCTCACCCTCTATACTCACATGAACCATTTCCTGATAAATCTCTTCCTGCCAAGTCCCATGGCTCCCCTAATTCTAAAAGTACACAAATACTTGGGAATTTCCCCCCAGTGTTTTAGAAACCATCTAGATCAGTACTGTCCAGTTGAGATGTAATGTGAGCCATATAAGTAATTTAAAGTTTTCTGTCATGTTAAAAATAAATTCAAGGGGCGCCTGGGTGGCTCAGTTGTTGAGCGTCTGCCTTCGGCTCAGGTCATGATCCCAGGGTCCTGGGTTTGAGCCCCGTGTCGTCGGGCTCCCTGCTCCGCGGGAAGCCTGCTTCTCCCTCCCCCACTTCCCCTGTTTGTGTTCCCTCTCTCATTGTGTCTCTCTCTCTCAAAAATAAATAAATAAAATCTTTAAAAAAAAAATATCAAGGGCACCTGGGTGGCTCAGTCGTTAAGCGTCTGCCTTCGGCTTGGGTCATGATCCCAGGGTCCTGGGATCGAGCGCCACATCGGGCCTTCCTGCTCTGTGGGAAGCCTGCTTCTCCCTCTACCAGTCCCGCTTGTGTTCCCTCTCTTGCTATGTCTCTCCGTCAAATAAATAAATAAAATCTTAAAAAAAAAAATAAAAAATAACTTCAAAACGAACAGGCGAAATTAGTTTTAATACATTTTACACTACCCAATATATCAAAAATATCATTTCAGCATGTAATCAATATTTTTAAACTATTAATTTTTTTGTATCAAGTCTCCAAAATCCAGTGTGTATTTTGCACTCACAGTATTTCTCAATTCAGGATGGCCACATTTTAAGTGCTCAACAGCTACATGTGGCTAATGGTTACAGTATTGGACAGCATGTGTCTAGATGTCTTCTCCTATTCTAAGAAAGATATTTGGAGAGCTTATGCTTCTGGGCCCAAATAACCCAATTCCAAGCAAATCACTACTCTCTTCTTCCCTGTTCCCTTCGGGTGGAAAGTGGACACTCTGGTAAGGACAGCTAGGGTCTTTCACTTGGGAAAGAGGAACTGCAAAACTCTTTCTGGTTACTGAGTAAAGCAACTCAGAATTCCTATACCTTATTTAACCCTAAAACTGTGGTCAGAATGAATTATTTTGCTGTAAAAGCCAACGCTCAAAATTAAGGAGACCTGTAAAATCACTGAGCACTTCGTTGTCACTTGTAGATCACAGCACAGAAGGATGCAGTTTACCCCCGGTATTCAAGTCCTTAACATTCAACTTGTGTTCTTCCCCAGGTTCCCTAGATTACAGAAGAAATAGTCCTACCATGGCTTATTACAAACTCCAAGTAAAATGCGAATTTAAAAGTCCCAGTTATCTCAAAGGATTGTAGTTTATAAGGATTCTCACTATACACCAAAAGGTACTCTTCTGTCTTTTCCCATACCAGACATAACCGTCTTAGCCTCACTTCGCTTGCCTAAGCCACTAGAGATGTGGCCCTCAGAAAGATCTTAAAATCTACACACAAATACACCTTTCCGTTTCATTAATACATCAAGTTCCTACAAGTCTCAAACAGGTAAAAGAAACATCCTTCAAATACACTGTAAGGACTGAATAAACTTCTAGCGCAGGTAAGAACAAACCATTTTCACCTTGTGCATGTCGGTTCTACGCTCCTCAATCTTACTAAGTGAGGGACTAGAAACCAGTCGAGAACTCCCAGCACATACCTGCCTTTGAGCGAACCATCAATGCCAACTAGGAAGGGAGCTTCCAAAACCACGTTATTTGTGACTCCTAGGAAGACAAACACGGGTCAGAAGGAGTAGCTGTGAAGCTTTGGAAGGGAAAACCTACCCGCTACAGATAGACTACATCATAGCCACAAATATCATGAAAAGTTGCCCTCACCCCTGGCAAAGGGGTTAATTTCCTTCTAAATCTTCACCCGGTCTTTTTCACCACCCGCTCTCGACCATCCCCTGAGAAGGCAAGAACCACCCTCTCTGGCCCTCCTCCGCCTTCCTCAGACTCCGCCCCCACTCACTGGAGAAGACCACGGCTCCGAGGGACTGCGACAGGTCCCAGGCGAGGTGCACAGAGTCAGCGAGCACGGCGTAGCACTGTGCGCATTGGAACACGGCGCACCTCTCCGGCTGCAGCCACGACGGCAACCGCGGGCTACATGGCAGCTCCTCCGTCCCCAGGCCTGCGGGGCCAAGCGGCGAGGACCCGTTCACTACCTGCGTGTCCCACTCCATAGAAGTCGTACAAGAGTGTTTGTCAATTGTCTTCTTAGCGCCATCGCAAAAATCACCCCGTGGAAGCTTTCCATATCGCGAACGATGCCGCCGCGGCCGAGCCGCCATCTTCCTGCAGCCCGCGCCTCTGTTTCGAACACGCACCTGGCCCCGCCCAAGCACGGTTCCTGCATCCTCATTGGACATCGTGAGCGGGGGGGGGGGGCTCTGCCCCACCACTCTGCCTGGACACGCCCTTCGGCGCCAAAGGGGCGTTGAGGGGTGAGGGGAAAACAAGCGTCTGATGGGTGGAGAATTTTGGTTTCTATTGGTCAACGCCAGGAAACCCCGCCTTCAGGGCATTTTTAACCAATAGAAGTGGAGCATTTTCAATTTAAACTCTCTATAAAATTCGGTTTAACCAACGCTTACAGTGGCGCCAGAGTTTTCGAACTTCGCTGCCGTTCCTGGAGTACGCGTCCTCTGCGTGGTCGCCTGGATGCAGCTTGCCATGGCCGTACCCTCCCTTGAGGAGCTGGACTCCTTCAAGTACAGCGACCTGCAGAACTTAGCCAAGAATCTGGGCCTCCGAGCTAACCTGAGGGTACGGAGCCGGTAGCGGGCAGGGTAGGGTGAGCGGCCTGCGGTAGACTTGGTGGGAAGGGACCGAACGGGAATCCCGGGGACTGAGCCACCTGTCCCTCCAACTATGCAAAAAACGGAAAGGGGGCCATAGCATTTACCTTATTTTGGGGCTGATTTTTTGGGGGGGCTCACATAGGCCTTGACTTCAAGAGGGTTTGTTCGGCTTGATGTCATTGGAAGTACTCTGGAATTAATTTAGGAAATGCAGGCGCAGAAAACTCAGGGATGCTGTGTCTAATTCAGGTTGTTAGGCAGTCGCGGAAATAATTGCCTTGGCTTCTGGAAAATTCGAAACTAACAATTCTGTGAATTGTAAATGTGCCCCAAATCTCTTAATACTTTATTGGAGGACCTGGGAAAAAAGGATGACTTTTAGAGGACAACCCCATGGACAAATTTTTATAACTCAGTCCTGACCTAGAATGATTGTTCATTTTCTCTTTCAAAACCTGTAAGGTCTTTGACTACGAGGCTGCAAAACGATAAGGGGAAAAGGTGGGGATTCAATTTGGGACTGGGGTTTATATATTCTTTAGTGGACTTTTCCCACAAAATACTTACTGGTACTCTGTAGGGTGTGGTATTTACACAGTGAATGCCTAAATCAGGCATTACAAGTGTTTTTAAGGGAGTTAAAATTATCAGTGCCCAGGTACCTGTTAGGGCTTAATAGTAAAGGAGTGTATTTGGAGATACTTCTGAGCTACTACTTCATAAACAAAGCTTTAATTCCTTAGCTGAAATCCCTTAAGCTTTTTGCAGTCTGGTTGGAATCTTATCCAAGACAGCATAGCATCCGGCCTGTGCTGGTCCCTGTACACCTGGCACCTTAGTCCATCTTTCTGCCTTTGCTAATTTTGACCCTTTGGCCTCAGATTCCCTTCTCTCTCCCTCTTCTTTATTTGCATTAATAATTCCCACCTGCTCTTCAGAGTCCAACGGAAGTATCGCTGACTTGGCTCTTCATCTCCTCCTCTTTGGTCCCTTGGCCACGGGTCTGCCACCCCAGTAATCCCAGGAGCCCTATGTGCTTTTTAAAGCAGTTTAATTTCAGGTACTCTCTTTGAGCACTTGCAGGCTTTCACCTTGCACTCTGGTTATTTGTGTATTACATTATTCTCTCCACTACAAGTTAAGTTCCTTGAACAAGAATCTCATCCATGCTCCTTGGAAGGTCTTTATAACACTAAGTGCAGTACATTTTATTGGGAGATGATGAATTACTCTCAGTCACTTGTTGGCAGTGCTTAGAATAATGCTCCAGACGGTGGCAGGACAGTTACAGTGGAGGCTTCCTGATTTCAATGCTCTGGATAACATTAACACCCTACAATCATTTGGGACTCTGAAGAGCTACTGCAACGGAGATCTTTTCCTAAAAGCCCCACCTGTTGTTCTCTTGAGTTACTTGATCTGGGTTAGCCGATTTACCCCCCGTTTTCACAGAGTCGGATAGTGCAGTATTTCTGGGCACTACACACCCCTTACCTATCTGGCACAGTCTCCGGCACACGGTAGGTGTCAGTACTTATTTAGAGGTACTGTTTTCCAAAGGTGACCGCATAAGGCTTTATTATAAGCAACTACAGAAAGACAGTTTTGAGACAATTAAAGGAAATTAAACTTGAACTAGTTATTAAATTAAGGTGTTGTTAATTTTGTTGGGTATAAGAATGGGGTTGCTGTTATGCCCCCACCCCCCACCTTTTTTCTGTACCCAACCAACTGGCCCTGCCTGGAGAAAATCACCTAACCTTGTTGACTGAACTTATATTTATGACCATAAATTGTAAAATGAGCATTTGATCCCCGGATGCTTCCTTAGTAGTCATTAACTTTCCCATTTTTGAGGACACTTATTTCCTATGTTACCTCAAATTGGCTCCCTTCCCTCACTTGATGACTTTTGCTCATAGGTCATTGGAAAAATAGATGGAGTCGGCAGAGCATTACCTCATCTTTCCACCATCGAACCCTCAGGCTATCTCACATCTGTCCCCTTACACTTTACCTTCTCCTAAGGGCAGCCTTGCAGGTTGTGCTGGTGGATCCTTGTTCTCGCCTCCAGGGCCACACACCTGCAATTAGCTCCATTCCTCCATCAGTTGCTCCCACTCAGCAGGCTCATTTCCATAATGGATGCAATCAAGTCTTCCTATTCCGCATCTTAAAAAAACACAACAACAACAACAACAACAAAAACCTCTCCTGACCACTTGTCCTTCATCTTCTGCTCAATTTCTCTGTTCTTTCTCACTGAAATTGAGCTTACCAAGGCCACCAGGCTCTGCATCTTCCAAAGCTTGTAGTACATCTCTATCCAACCCTGCTATTTGGCAGGATTGAATCCTCCTTTTTGCTCAGACCAATTTTACCACTTTTCACTCCTGAAATCTTACCTCTGTTTACCATCACCAGTGTTGCAGACCTGGGCCACAGCCTGTCTGCTGCTCTCCCACCTTCACTCTGGCTTCACGGTAGTTATTCTCCTGTAATCAAGGCAATATTTGAAACTTAGAAGGCACCACTTTTTCCGCTCAGTGCCCTCCATTGACTTGCCTCACACCTAAAATAAAATCCAGACTCCTGCAAATATAATGTGAGGAACTTGGTTTGATCCTGATTTGGAGGGAAATTTTAAAAAAGAAAACAGCTAAAAATCGAGGCAATTGAGGAAATTTGATTGTGGGCTACATATCAAAGGATATTAGGAAATTAATATTTTTCCTAGGTATGATAATGCATTAGAGGTTATGTAGAATAGCTCCTTATTTTTAGAAGATGTGGCTGATGTATTTAGTGGGAAAGTATTGTGTTGGCTAGAACTTACCTTCGAATAGGTTGGTGAGAAACATGTAACTATAGAGCAAATATGAGACTGTATTAATGATTGCTGAATCTAGGTAGGGAGAATAAGAGTGTTTATTAATACTATTTCAACTCTTCTATGGACATGACTTTTTTTTATTTGGGGCGCCTGGGTGGCTCAGTCGGTTAAGCGTCTGCCTTCAGCTCAGGTCATGATCCCAGGGTCCTGGGATTGAGCCCCACATCGGGCTCCTTGCTCATGGGGAGCCTGCTTCTCCCTCTCCCTCTGCTGTTGCTCGGGTGCTCTTGTGCTCTCTCTTATCTCTCACTCTCTGAAATAAATAAATCTTAAAAAAAATTTTTTTTTAATTTATTCATTTGAGACAGAATGAACAGGGGAGAGGGACAGAGCGGGAGAGAGAATCAGGCTCCCTGATGAGCAGAGAGCCTGATGCAGGGCTCAATCCCAGGACTCTGGGATCATGACCTGAGCCACCCACGTGCCCCTGGACTTGACTTTTTTTTTTTTTTTTAAGATTTTATTTATTTGACAGACACCGCAAGAGAGGGAACACAAGCAGGGGGAGTGGGAGAGGGGGAAGCAGGCTTCCTGTGGAGCAGGGAGCCCGATGCGGGGCTCGATCCCAGGACCCTGGGATCATAACCTGAGCTGAAGGCAGACACTTAACGACTGAGCCACCCAGGCGCCCCTGGACTTGACATTTTATTAATAAAAAGTTATAAGCAAGGACGCCGGGGTGGCTCGATCAGTTAAGCATGCACCTCTTGGTTTTAGCTCAGGTCATGGTCTCAGGGTCAGGAGATCGAGCCCTGCATCAGGCTCCAAGCTCAGCAAAGATTCTGCCTAAGTTTCTCTCTCCCTCTCCCTCTCCCTCTGCCTCTTGCCACCACCACTCCCGCCCCACCCCCATCCCAGGCTCTCTCCCTCTTTCTCTAAGATAAATAAATCTTTAAAAAATTAAAAAGGTACAAGGAAGAAATCCACACCTTGCCATGGCCTATACCCCTCTACTTGACCCAGCCCCTGGCTCCATCTCTGATCTCCCGGCCCCCGGTCACCCCAGTGCTCACATGCTCCCCGGCACTGGCGTCTTTCTGTCCTTACAATTCGCCAGCCCACTTCAGGCCTTGGTGCACCCTCTACTTGGGATGCTCTTCCCCACATCTTCACCTGCTACCTCTTCTTGTTCACATCTCGGCTTAGAAGTCACCAGTTCTGAGAGGCCTTTCCTGACCCTCCCAACTCAGGTAGCACCCTACCCCAGTCCCCAATTTAATTTTCTGATAACCTCTGATCATTTATTTTGAGCTTCATTAATAGACTGCTTGCCCAGTAGTCTTCCGCTGGAGGTTCCTAGAGAGTGGAGACCTTGTCCCTCTGGTTCAGCACTGTCTGTCCAGCACCTGGAACAGTGTGCTGCATGGCACATGCTCGCCGAGGGCATGAGGGAATACGTCTGCTACTAACATGTGCACTCCCGCTCGGCGCTCTTGAGCATCGCCTGTAGCATTCAGCCTGCTTGATGCCCTGCCTTGTCTCTGCCACAGGCACCTTGTTGCATCATTGTCAGATGTTTGATGAGGTTTTTGTGGTATTTTAAGTCTAGAAACCTGTACAATATAGAGCCTACGATTAACATTACTGTATGGTATACTTACAAATGTGCTAAGGTCTTATGTGAAGTGTTCTTAAAACCAAAAAAAAAAAAAAGACAAAAGCCAAAAGGGGTGGTAGGAAACTATTGGTGACAGATAAGTTTATGACAGTGATAAAGGTTTCACGGGTATATATTTATCACCAAACACATGATATTGTGTATATTAGCTATCTATAGCTTTTTGTGTGTCGACCATACCTCAATGAAGTGCTTGGGGGAAAAAATGATCGAAGAACCAAGAATGCCTGAATTCTGCCCTGCCAATCACCCCCTTCACAGAAAAGACCCCAAGAGAGATTCAAGGAACAACAGTGGTAGAAAATACGCACCACTTTATTACTAGCTGGTATGGTGCCTGAGAACTTGATGCAGGGCATACTGGTAGACCAGCTGGGGGATGTGCTTCACACCCTAAGCACAGCCTCTCCTGTCCCCTAAAGCCCAAACCAAATCCAGATCTCTGCCGTTCTGTCCTGGACACACGCCCAGTGATAAATGGTATGAGATGTGGTGGCTGGGCCCACAGTGAGAAGGAAATCTCTGGTTCTCCGCTGCCTGGCTGAATGGAAGAAGAGGAAAAGACAACCCAGCCAATATGCTTGACCTTTTAAAAGCACAAGAAAATATAACCAATCAGATTAGTATTTCTCATTCAGGAAGGGAAGGTTTCTCGGGGTGAGAAGAGAAACTAAGAGTCCTTTTCCCCCAGGGACCTGTAACCATCCTCCCCCCGAAGCCTGTCTGTGTTTGGCATTCCTGATCTGAGAGACCCGCACCATGTTCCATCAGCTGCCCAAGCCAGAAACCTGGGTGTAATACAGTTTCACTATTCCTCAACCCCTGTGTTCATACTGATTGTCCTTCCTAAAAAGATTTTGAATCTGTCCCTATTGCCTTAGTCCTGCTCTAGCTCAGGCCACAGGACCTTCCCGGTTTCCTCTACCAGCCTCCCAGCCGCTTTGCTGGCTTCCGTCTTTCTGCCATCCAGTGCATCCTGCACATTGTCCTGCGAGAGTGATCATTCTGAGCAATGGAGAATTGGTCACTTACTGCACTGCTACAGACTCTTCAGACACTGCCCTTTGCTCTGAGGGTGAAGTTCCTACTCTTAACAGCCTTACAAAGCCTGGCGGGATCGGCCCCTGCCCACTTTCCCAGTGCCTTCTCTCCCCTTCCCTGAACAGCTCCATGCTCCAGCCACACTGAACTTGAGTTCCCCAAACTCCAATCTTGCCTTCCCATGCATTTTCTTTACCCCTTCCCTGTGGCCACCGCTGTCACGTTCATCTTTCAGACCTCAGCAGCTACAGACATCATGTCTTTGTCTTAGAACTGGTGTGGCCAGTTACCTGCTCAAGTCTATCCCGGCAGTCCAGACCTTGGCCGAGCCCACCTGTGTTCTGCACAACAGCTTGGGCGTCCTCATGCTGGTGCTTAGCCCAGTGTGTCTGTCGTCATTGCCTCTTTCCCTGTCTGATGTCCCCATTGTGTGAAATCGGGGGCGGCAATTCTGTCTTGGTAATCCGGAGCCTGCCCAGAGGACATTTGAGGAGTACAAGAACAGGAGAATAATTATCCTTAAAAAAGGGAAAGTTACTAACCTTTCTTTTTTGCTTACTTGATTTTTGGCCCTACTGATAAACTCTTTAACTCTCCTGCAGGCAGACAAGTTGTTAAAAGCCTTGAAATCCCACCTTAAACACGAGGTAAAAAAAGAAAATGATAATCGGGTAAGTAATATTTTTTTAACACCTGTTAAATACTAAAACAATTATATTTAATGAGTGGTAAACACAGCTAGTGATGACTTAAGACATGCTATTTATCCCCAAAGGGATCATTATTGGTAAAAATAAATCCTTTGATATTTGTTATAAAGAAACTGCCTAGTAGTGAGTAACCTGTTGAATAAGATGTTCTCATAAAAATGCAAAGGTTAATTAATTACTAGTTGCCAGAACTTACAAGAGCTAGCTTGGTATCAGCAAGGAAGGAACAGGATTCAAAGCCCCAAAAATCCAGGTTAAGTAGCATTCTGTCATTTCTTTTTATGTGATCTTGTAAAACTCAAATGCCTTAATTCTCAGTTTCCTATTCTTTAAATGGAAGTAACATCTGCTCTGCTGAATTGAATGTTAGGGGGCCTGTGAGAGTGGCTTGTGGTGAACTGGAATCCAGAGTGATGGGGGAGGGGGCCTTAGACTGAAGGTTTTCACAGGGCCTGACATAGTCCGTGGATGCTGCGTTAGGGCCAGGATTCTAAACTCGAAATAGAGGAAAATCCAGAAAGGCCTTAAGG